GGGGGGGGGGGCACAGACAATAAAGTGAGTTCCTTAATTTATTAGATATGAGAACAGTCATTCCTTTCCCGCTCCTCTCCCAGCTCATAATAATGTGCTCTTTAGAACTAAGAGGGCTTCATTTGACTGTTTTTCTCCTTCCTACTCCTCTCTTCTCCCAAATCTGGGGTGTCTCCACCAATTCTGACTAGCTCTACCTCAGAAATTCTCGTTGAAGTAGGCTGACACCCTGTTAGTGCTACTCTGTATATATATATTTTTCTAAACTTTCCCAGGGTTTAAAAATCACCCCATTCACCCTTCCCAATTCTAAGTAACAGTAACAGGAAACACCATTCCCTCCCCTAACCTAGCTTCAAATCCTGCTGAATTCTAGCTCCTAAAAAAACCAAACTTTTGCCCTGGCCAGTGTGGCTCAGTTGGATGAAGCATCATCCATACACCAAAAGGTGGTGGGTTTGATTCTGGGTCAGGGCACATACACAGGTTGCGGGTTCGGTCTCAGGTCAGGGTGTATACTGGAAGCAGCCGATCACATCAATGTTTCTCTTTCTCTCTCTTCCCCCCTTCCTCTCTCTCTAAAAGTCAATAAAAAAACAACTCTCAAATCTTCCCTCTTTAGCTCCATTGTCACCCTATTCAAAAAGTCACTCACTGTAAATTTTTTGCCAAAGTTTTTTTCCCCATAACAAAAGTTTAACACAAAAGTATGCTGCTAGTTATTTGAGTTTAAATTAACACAAATTTTAAAATCTGATGTTCCATTAGTCATTTAATTTACAAAACTTGCTAGTCTCTTTACATATAATCTTGACATATACAAATCTAAACACCACTTTGAGCCCGGCTGGTGTGTCTCAACGGTTGAGCATCGACCTATGACCCAGGAGATTGCAGTTTGATTCCCGGTCAGGGCATGAGCCCCCGTTGTGGGCTCAATTCGACCAGTGACTCTCTCTCATCATGGATGTTTCTCTCTCTCTCCCTTCCTCTCTCTGAAATCAATAAAACAAACGTATAAACATGACTTTGGTATTTAGTCTGCAAGCCTATTACTTTATATTCTTCAATGCAAAAGGTACAGCATGGTGCCTGGAACACAGAAAGCACTTCATATGTTTGTTAGATGAAGAAATAATTATTCAAAGCTACTTTCTTCTCTCCCTTATAGTGTCCCAATTTAGCTGTCCCCTTCTTAACTCTGTATGGTGATAGTCACTAGATTTTATCATGGTGATCACATTGTAGGTATTAAATGTTGAACCAGCTAGAACTAACATAAAATTCTCAACTATACGTTAATTTAAAAAACAACTTTCGCCAGGCCGGGCGTGGCTCAGCGATTGAGCATTGACCTGGGATCCAGGTGATCGGGGTTCGATTCCCGGTCAGGGCACAGGCCCGGGTTGCAGGCTTGATCAATGACTTTCTCATCATTGATGTTTCTATCTCTCCCTCTCCCTTCCTCTCTCTGAGATCAATAAAGATATATTTAAAAAATAAAAAACAACTTTCAGTGTTAATACTTAGGTGTTACTTGATTACAGTCTGCAAGGCTCATTCCCTGTACTTAGTTTCCGACCCATTCGGATTCCCCCTCAGGGCCCATGACTAAGGAAAGGGGGGCGAGGGCGAGCGGGCGGAGCCCCCTCCCTGCGCAGGGCGGCCGCCGGCGAGCCCCTGGGGAGGGCGAGTCGGAAGCCCCGCCAGGCCCCACGCGGCACGTGGGCGGCCCCTCCCTGCCACTCGGGGTCCAGCCAGCCCGCGGGCTGCTCCCGTCCCTGCTGGTCTCCGTGGGGAAAGGGTTTGGAGGGGGATCCTCGGCTTCCCTCTCCCTCAAATAGGCGAGGACACTACCCAAGCTTTACACACAGCCACCTGAGCCTTCAGAGCCACCAATCTGAGGATCACGCGTGTCGTTCAAAGTCCTCATCGGTTCAAGGCGCGGACAGAGAGGGCGACTGACGGGGCCTCCGGGTTAGCTTGAAACCAGTCCCGCAGAGGAAAGGGACGCGGGGGGAGAAGCAGGGTTTCCAAAACGCCGGTATTTCCTGACACGATGACTTTTTTTTTTTTTTTTT